CTGTCCTGGAATTCACTATGTAGACCAGGCTGGCCTTGAACTCATAGAGATCCACCTGCCTCTGCCTCCCAAGTGCTGGGATTAAAGGCGTTCGCCACCACACCTGACTCAATTTTAATTATTTTATTTAATTTATTTACCTTGGTGTTTTTTCTTTCTCTTCTTACATTTTTATTCTGTGTATTTTTGTGTCACACATAGCCCATGTATGGAGGTCAGAGGACAACATGTAGGTCCTGGGGATCAAACTCAGATTTGTCAAGCTTAGTGGCAAGTGCTTTACCCACTTAGCCATCTCACCAGCCTTATTTGTTGTTTCTTTAAGACAGGACCTCATATAGCTCAGGCTGGCCTTGGACTCACTATGTAGCCAAGGATAACCTTGAACCCCTGACCGCCTATCTACATCTCCCAAGTACTAGGATTATAAGCTTGTACCACTTTGTCTAGTTTATGTGGTGCTGGGGCTCAAACCCAGGGCTTTGTACATGCTAGGCAAGCACTCTACAAACTGAATGACACCCCCAACCCTTTATTATTTAATTTTAAACAACAAGTCAATGGCTACAACTTGGACAGTACTGGCCAGGTGCCTTCCTACCAGTCTTGGGTAAATTTCGGCTGGGAACTGAGAGTGACCCATCCCTGCTTGCTCTGACTGACTTCTTAGCCCAGGTCCTCCTTTCCTCACTCAAGACTGAGCTCTCTCGGTTCCTAGGTCTGAAACCCCTGTTTCCACCTTGGAGCCCCAATTCATGCTGCTTTCTCAGTCTAGAATTCTCTTCCCCCATTCCTCCCTCGTCTGGATCTTCATTGTCCACAGCTCAGCCACAATTGTGACCATTCAGAGAGGCTTTCCCTGCCCAAGGGATTTCATTAGTCCCCATTCCAGGCAGTGACTCTGTTCCATGTGGTCTATGTCATGTCCTTCCTTATTTATGTGTATATCGTGTCTGCACCATTGGATTATGAGCCCCATCAGGGCTGACCAAGCAAAGGCCTGGCATACAGCAGGTGTTCATATTGTTGACAAGGTCCTACAACCCACCCAGACATAACCTGAGGCCAAGGATGCAGTGCAAGGAACCTAGCTCACTCACCTTTCCCCCTGGAGAACTCGGGTGGAATGTGGCTCTCCAGAGTGGCCCAGCTCCACGATTTAGTGGCAGGAGGGTGGCCTGCACCCCTGGAGCTCTGAGTCTTGGTTTCTCTACTCTCTAGAGCAGCAAGAGTGGGACCCACAAGAGTTCCCTCACAGCAAGCCTCCATCTCAGGGTGAAGCAGGTCACCACTGGCCCCTGGTTCCAGGATTGGGGATTCCAAATGGTCCATGCCAGTCACAGAGGAGGAGGGAGTGCTGGACCCCTCCGGAAGAGGAGAGGATACCACAGCAACACTTTCAGAGACCATAGAGAATTCGGGGTGCTCAGCTTTTGCCACCTTCAAACAAATACAGAAAGACATGGGCTGGTACAGGGCCTGCCTCCTGAGCCTCACAAAGCCTGAGTCTCAGTCACTCCAATAGGGACCAGGGAGCCTTTGAAAGACAGGGACTGGGGTGACATGGAGGATCTCACCTTAGGCAGTCTCCCCCAGGCCCACTGCATGTGGGACTCAGCTCTCAGGGGACTGGACTCTGGGGACCGCAGCTCCAGTTCTGAGTCACTCTTAGGGGTCATTAGCCCATCTGATGAGAGGCTGCAAAGAACAAGAACTCAGAAACATCCACTATTCAGCCTGTCACCCCCAATCTAGCCAACCTAGGAGAAGAATATTTCAACATGTATTTATGCCTGTGTTGAATCCAAAATATACAAAGAAAATGTATGTGCACATATATATGCATATATATAAAGGAAAAAGCTGGATATGGTGACACATGCCTGTAATCAGCATCATTCTCATCACATAGGAGTTCAAGGCCAGCCTTGGCTGATTGAAGCCCTATTTCAAAAGGGTACAAATGCTTGACTGGATAGGACTTAACATGTATGGAGGAATACATGAGGTTCAGTGGGGTGGAGGGGGGCATGAATGGGAGAGGGGATCTGGATGCAAAAAGCCCCATTAAAAAAAAAAGAGTACACAAAGTTGTTCAGGAAAAAGTGATGGGGAGATATGGGAGGAGTTGGAGGGGAAGGAGTGGGTGTGGATTTGATCAAAAAACCGTATATACATGTATGAAATTCTTAAATTTTTTTAAAAGTTAAAAAAATAAGCCAGGCGTGGTGGTGCACGCCTGTAGTCCCAGCACTTGGGCGGCAGAGGCAGGCAGATCTCTGAGTTCAAGGCCAGCGTGGTCTACATAGTGAGTGCCAGGACAGCTGGGGCTACAGCGGAGACAAAAAAAAAAAAAAAGGAACTGTTGTATGAAATGTACAAAAGCTCAATAAAATTTTTTTAAGAGTCAAAACGAAAGCTGGGCGTGGTGGCGCACGTCTTTAATCCCAGCACTTGGGAGGCAGAGGCAGGCGTATCTCTGTGAGTTCAAGGCCAGCCTGGTCTACATAGTGAG